CCTTAAGCACAATGGTACGAGGCACTTTTCACGTTGTTTCCTTTTTTCACAGTACCCTGTAGCGAGAGAATCGGTCATTTTCGCGCCAAACACGTATGGTAATTAATACTATTCAGGAGATCAAGACACTTCCGGGAACTTCCTGACCAAGTTGAGTTTCTGACTGAAAATGCTTCCGAATCATCGGATAGATAGTGAGTGTCGCAAATAGGGGACAGCATCGCTTTGCGGAACCCATCGGGGAAGGTTGTACTTGACAGCCGGGGAGGGGGGTCGTGAACGCAGGTCGGTGAGCATCAAACAGCACAAAAGTGTCATCGCTAAGTTGATGGAGCGGACGGAAAGCTGCAGAGGACCCGGATGTAAGGAAGACTACAAAATATTAAAACAATTGGTTAGCAATATCAAGTTAGATGAACTTGTAAGCACGTAGATTACTAAATAATACATCTCGAAAAGATTCGTGCGTATCGACCTTCCCAAACCCTAAACAAACATCTGCTTGCATGGACAAAAATCACCTAAAATCAGAAGTTACACCTTCTACCACCACGGCGTAGAAGCGTAATGCACAGCGCCAGCGTAATACTCGGACCAAATTGATCGATGATACAAATTATGCTTTGACTCAGTTCAACGGGAATATGTGTTTTGAAGGCATATTGAAGTTCGCGAATGAGTATCCTTACAATGGCACAGGGGAGTCGAGCTTTTGAGTGGCTCAGAATGTCGCCCAAGGGTGACCATCTAAAATATCTTCTAAACTAGCGGGTCTTCAGGAAACTGTGGAGCTTTTTGGAAAGAGGAATATTGGGCGTTCTGATGGCGTTTTTAGTTTTGCAAAAGATTGCGTTGAAAGAAGTTATTCTCGTCTGAAGCATAAAAACCCGCTCGCGATTTACCACTAACGCGTCCGTAACCCATCCGAAATATTTCACGAACGGGAGGAGATTCAGATTGCAAGTAGGTAGAAAACGCAACAGTAGAGGCATTGCTTCATCGCCGCCATGCCGCCTTCCGTTTCTCAAAAGCCCCACACTTGAAAAGCTATCACCCTCCAGAAAAAGCCCCACGATTTTCCACGACCGGCCAACGAGATCTGCTTCAAACCGCTATTTGCTCTATGGAATCATAACGCCGGCCCTAAGCGCTTGCCGACTCGTACGATCTAAGCCCTTCTCGTCAAAGCAAACAGTTACAGCGTGAAGGAGGGCTCGTCCGTACCTGGATCCTTTCCCGGGGGGGACGTACTAACACCGCCATTTCCCACATAACGATGCTGTGCCCTTGCTCGCAAGGGAAGATTGTGGTCAAGTCGGTATTTGATCTACCACGTTAGATCCCTTGACCTACTCGTACTATTGGATCGGTAACTCGGATTAGTGTTGCAAAGTGGGGGAACGTTTTACAGAACCAAGGCAAAAGTATTCGCGCCAACGGGAAGCAAATTCAGTGCTTTTGTGAGACAGACCATTGCACCGGCCATCGTTGGAACCATTTCGGCGTAACAGTGCTTATATGCCAACACTGCATTTACAGCTCATTTTGACCACCCAGAACTCGACTGGGTGATCCCCGTAGCTCTTTTGATTTACATCTTTGCAATCAGCATTCGAGGCTTTATCGATGTGCCAATGTCTCCATTCGATGTTCCATGAGACGTTGATACCATTCCCTTTGTAAGAACTAAAACCCTGCAAGGGAAATACTATACTATACTACGGTATACTTGACCCTGCCCCCGGCCCCCGCCTCCTTGAGGTGTCGTAACTCCTCTTTTCGCCGCTGTTCGATTTGGGGGGGGGGCATTTAGCACATTCCGCAAATTCCCTTCAGTACATCTTAATCAACAGGTTACACTTTGATGACACCTGTAAACTCCTGTGAAGCTGCAAAATGGCATAAATGGGCCACATGGTTTACAGGAAATCACAAGTCTTCATGAAGATGGTCTGAACTAGCTCTGTTAAAGGAAGAACCCGCGATTACTCGCATCTCAGATGGTGGATTAGGGGGTTCCATATAGACGACAAGGGGTTGAGTAACTCGACTGTGAACAAAAAAAAGCACAAAAAACATGCCACCTGCCCTAGATAGAACCCCATTTCGATTCCAGTTTGTACGTGCCCAGTCAACTCTATCTCCAAAACTACGCCCCATATGCATGGCAGATTCACCGATAAGATTTCTCGTATCGGTATAGGATCGTACAAGTGGCGATTATCATGCTTTTTCGTCCTGCAATCTCATTTTTCACTGGAAGTCGGTCATTAGGGGCGGAGTCTGGAGGCGGAGTCACTGGAACCTATATTGCGCTACAGCGCCCCTCCCATAGAATTTTTTGCCGCGAAACCGGTACAAGGTTGTTCGTCGCGGACCACTCTAACCTCCTGACGCCATATTTTCAACTTCGATACCTGATCGCGGACCGTGCCTTTGAAGTTCGCATTAGGTGCCCCCATCAAGCCAGGCCGCACCTTACTTTAGCACAATTGACATCTTTTCTTGGACTAACATGTTACAGCTATCATAATATTATCTTTATTAACCTGTTTAAAAGTATAATTTCTCAAGAGAAAGAAAAAATTGAACCAACTCGATGATTAGTAAGTAGTTATCCTTGTTTAAGTGAATAAGGCAACGGTATCAATGCAAAGAGGAATATAAAACTGACGCATGAATTTACTCAGTACATCAGGGAAGCGATTACAAGCTATAGGACCAAGGGATCCTGCGTCACAGCTGATAAAAAATGCAAAGAGTTACAATAAAGTACAGTAAAAAAATGTCAGACTAAATGAATGCATTGCCCAAAACATGATACTCGCAAACTAATAAACGGTAATTACTGGTTAGAACAATGGGATAAAATCAGCACGATCGCGTCCACACTTGGCGACCAAGTCGCGCGACTGCGACCAATCGCGCATCGAGTTCCGACGAACGAGGTCGCAGCCGTGTCGCGAAGCTAATGAAACGCGCGGTCTTCTTAATAAACTGTCGACGAATCGAGTTCTACACAAATGAACACACATCACATTCCATGAAATTTAATGCCGCGCTAAGATGCGCTATAAATTGCCCGCGATTTGTGGGGTACAATATTATGATATGCCAAGAACAACAACCAGATTTCCAGACTACTGCACGAATTCGGCAAGAGCACGAGCGGGAGCCATTGGTCGCCGCTCGCTTGCACGTCTAATCACACCGTGTTTCTTCTGGATAGGCACCAATGGCTGTTTCATCGGTGGCGCCATACGCCACTGCACTTGTGGTGCAACCGAGTTATGACGTCGAAACTGAAAATTACCGAAATTACATTGATTAATTCCAGATCAACTAAACACATGCACACGCTTCACTGCCAGGGCACGCCCCGATTCAGGTAAAAAATTTTGCGGAAAACGGCCTTCTTCATAAGCATCTCCTCGACGACCTCTTTCCTATTCCCCATTCTGCCTATCATCTCCCAAAATTCTCCCAACCTAAGGGACGGTATAGCGCGTGCAAAACGGGAAAAATTGAGTAAAATCAACAAGCGAACGACTTCCCCTCCACTTCTCAGAGTCCCCAATTTGCAACGTGCCCTGCACGCGGTACTTCAACTATTTATTGAGCCTAGTCCAAAATCCATCGACGCTCCCAACGGGTAAATGTCCAAAAAAGGAGGGATAGTTTTTGTTTAAGTCAAGTTTAGGAATGAGCCATTCACACAACAACCCGAATAGAAAAAAAACAAGCCGGAAGTCAGAATAATTGGGGAATGGAAACTAGCACGAATACAAATAGAATACTTTACTACTATGGACAACTATTAGACTCACTTCACTAAACACATGCGTAGTTTAGATAAACTTCACAAGACCACGCGAAACTACATAAACTAAGTAAGAACCGCACAACACTCTGATCTTACCGTCTTCCTCTTGTCGCATCGATGACGTACATAGAGCCATCGCTGCTTCTACGCGAGCGCGCTCGCTTTGGGCACACTATATTTTGTTAACATTTAAATGAAACTGTTCATCTATTCTAGTTTTTTTTTAAAACCAGTAATTCTGCTCTTTCAAAACGCTTTTCAAGGCGCTCTTGGCCTTGGGAGGGGGGTGGGCGTTTAGCTGGTTCCCACCAATCAAGCCTATGCCTCCTATGAAGACCTGTAAATTCCTGTGAAGCTATGCAACAGCAACATGTTCGCTGACATTTGACAAGAGTCTACAGGTCTCACCAGGGTGAAACATGTAACTGTAATATAACTAGGTGAAAATGTCCCCTCCAAGCGGAGCAGCATTCCTTTTTATTCAGAAGTTTAATCTAAAGCACTGCAGCGCAATGGTTCAACATCTGCAAAAGGAAAGAAAAGAAGTAAGTTGAAAATTGCTCTCCTCAATGTCTCTTTACGACATAGAAAAGGTGTTTTTTTTTCATATCAAGACATGGCTCACCTTCGTGCTCGCAATGTACGCCGCCTTCACTGTTAGCACCACTGCGCCAAGGAGATTCCGAGCTGTTTGAATCAACGACATGGCTGATTCCAAACCAGAAACAACCACATCATTTCCAATCTGTTGCACATCAGCTTTGACCTTAAATAGGTACAATCGTGGTAAACCCAACAAACAAATTCTGTTCCAATCTAGTAAGGTGGGGCATCAGAGCTGGAAGGTGCGAAGGAACGATTACGCTTTCTTTTCCTAAAAGCAGTGGCGCGTGCTGGGCAGATGTAATGCTAGCGTAATTGGTGAAAGGGTTGCGAAAGGGTATTTGGCCACATCTCACTGAGTCCTTACACCAAAGACTGGCAGTAACTGCCCGCCCTCAGTCATTGTGCTCACTGTTTTCGAACCTGGGAAAGGAAATATCTCGACAGTGAGTGAACCATTCCCGGCCTTTGAAAGCAGATAGTTACAATACCTACCTTACTGCATATGTTCAGTTGTTGGCAATACAATGTGATCCGTGATAAGTAAGCAAACAAATCCGCCTTTGTGTTCGAGTCAGACACTTTCATCGCCAATTTGTTTAGCCAATGCATTCAGCTAAAATATTATGTTCATCAAACATCAGTGATAGCCAACCATTATGTAAGAAAGTCTTTCATAGACAAAAGGAAGGCTGGCCAGACAGCAGCACGCGCATGGCTTGGTGCGGGCTGTTACTGCCAACGTCATTGGTAAGACATTTGGCCACACCCCACTCAGTCCTCCCACCAATGACGTTGGCACTAATCGCCCGCCCCTGATCATCATATTCGCACCTTAAGGACCGAAACTTTGTCATACAAAACTGGAAGAGTTTCATTTGATCAAACACAGAGGAATCTGATGAGTATTGAAGCTCAGGAACCCTGTGATTTTACTCGATATAAAAGTACGAAATGAGACCCCATTCCAAGACAACTTGATCCAAAACATTATTCTATATCTCTGAGTTTCGGTGGAGCGTAATTATGAAAAAATTATAGCCTAAGGCGTTCACCTTTGACCCGTCCACAGATATTTCCTGAGCAGCCCGAATAACATCCATTGTTGTTTTCAACGGACCATGGCCCCTGAAAATAACAAATGAATAGAGTGCTAGAAGTACTGCCATAGGGTAGTAAAAAAATGCTAAACCTCGTGAAGTCAGTCATATCCGTCATGATCATACACATATGCTTAGCTAGCACAATAATATCGTTTCCACTCTCATCCCATTTGGCTACTTCACGCTCAAACTTCGTCTGTGTTATCTGCAAATGGGAAACATATTCGAAAATAAGTATCTACACTTGAATATAAACAGCTAACATAATAGTAACGACTGCAACTGTGAATTGAGTCCTCCTCTGTCCTGAGGAACAAATTTCACAGCTTACCATTTGCCAGCAGGTGACAGCAAATACAACACTAACCTTGAACACATCTATCTGCTCCTGGATCTTCTTCTTGTCTTCCTCAGGCAAACGTCTCATGATTTTCTGCTGGTTTTCACCTTCTGAGATCTGTAATCATACATTAAATAAATCAAGTAAAGATTCCTCAGCCGCAACAATAAGGCCGTAATCATACAGCACAAGGGATAAGGGAAGTCAGTTTGGCTAAGGAGGAAGGGGCAGACAGGGGTGTTTAGTTGGTTCCTATGAACATGTCGTACGGTTTAGAGGAGACCTGTAATCTTTCCTAGAGCCGTGAGGTAGCACTCTGTCTCATTCCTATTTGGGTGCTGTTTAGCGACGGGGGCATTTTGTACTAACACTGCTTCCCTAGTTCCGGTTTACGAATCTCACCATGGTAAAACTTGTGAACGCCTGTGAAGCTGGAGTAAGATCGTCTAGCCACCATCCTAAAACGTGTCAACTCGAGAAAAGGCTACCTAGATGGGTCGGCACATCTATGAAAAGCCGAATGCCCCCCACAAACTACCCCACCCCTCCTCCCTATTTATTCTTCTGAGGGCAGTTCGGAATGCGGAGGAGGAGGGGGCATTTCCCACTTTTCCCATCCTCGCAGCCATTGCATTACATGAGGGTATCTTACCAGAAGTAGACAACTTGCCTTAACAAACTCTGGTTTCCATCACTTAATGGCTTCATGAGATTACACAGATCTCCTGACGGTTCGAGACGACAATGGGAAGTAGGGAAAGTACAGAATACCCACCCATTCTCAACCCCACGCCGAACTACGCCTTAACTTTTTTTCTATTTATGAACCTCATTTAGGAGGGCGAAGCTACTACGGATGAACGAGTGCATCTTAGGGATGGGAATTTTTGAACCAAAGATGGGGGAAGAGCCTCGGGGTCATAAACCAATTTGGACAAATAGTAGTTCGAAAACTGAACTCACAACATCTCTCTCGTTAAGTGAAGTTGCCAAAAACTTAAAACATGCTCCCCCTCCCACCACTCCACCAAACCGAGCTACACAAAGCCGTAAATTGAATATAACAGCTGCCTCTCTCCAAAAGAAAATGAGCTGAGAAGGTGGACAAACCCGGCTGGCAGTATCATGCACGTTTGTTTGACCATCATCTTCGTACTCATTGTCGGAATCAACGTCTTCTGGATGCCGATTCACAAGCAGAGCGTTTCGGATCTCTTTCACAGCGTCGTGTACCAACGTGCAGGCATTAATGAACTCATCAGAGTCACGGTCTCTGCAATTTCGAAAGTTCTACCATATGATGACGAGTACGAAGCCATAAAATTTTCTTAGAGCTACTCAAGACCTCCTCCCTTACCTTTCCTCTTGGGTAGAATTCGTGCCAGTTGCTTCCAGTCGCGTAACGACGGCTTCCGCTCGAATGGCATATTGGCTCAACACTAAACATCAGTCAAATGAACTTTCACTTTTTAGGGAAATAGAAAAAATTTGTGACAGAAAATGCCCCAACCATATAAAATAAAACATACTTTCATCTCTCAACCTCCTCGTTGCCAACTTGACCCTGTCGGTGTATGCACTGGGTTGCAAGGCGTCCATTTCAGCGTCCACTGCTGAGCATACCTACATGAAACATGAGGTTTTCAAAACATTATTGCACCACACTCGCAGTACAGCTGAGAGCAGGGCAGGTCCTGTTGTTGGGGAAACATTGTGCAATACGACTTTCTCTGGAAAATTCCTCCTCTGCCACGAGTCCCCCTTCCCTTTCCTCGTGCACAATTCTACCTACCATTCCCCTAAACGTATTCAACGTCCTACCACATTTTCCAAAATTCTCTAGTTCTGTTCCCAAAACACGGGGTCCAGCGACTAAATGCGAACCCCTTCCAGAGGATTCCCCACGTACGACGTGCCCTGGCTAAAAGCCAAGAGAGACAGGAATAATAGAAAAACAGGAATAAGGGAAATGAATCTACAAAACCACAGAGCGGAACAGTCAAAGGCAAAGTTCACGTCGATCGTATAAGACGAAGATAGCCAAGGGACAAAGAAGTCCTGAACCTCGCTCATAACAAAAAGGTAAAGGCTAGGGTCGCGCCAAACTGTTGTCTATCTCCGCCCCTGCGATCGGCGTGGACTAAGTGCAGCCCACCTCCGCCCCTACGATCAACGCGGACTGTGTGTTGTCTATCTCCACACCTGCGATCAGCGCGGCTGTGCTCTCAACAGCCGAATTATTTATCTGATGGCAGCTCACTCTGAGGAGAACATTGCAACTTCACAGGAGAACAGAATCTCTCAGTAGTGTGACATATTAATGTAAGAGTTTGAAACCTACACGCAATGACTTCTCGAATAGCCTCCAGAGCTCCGATCAAGCAGATTCACCATCGCCTTCATGCACTAGCCCTGAAAACAATTGAACAAATACACCAAGGATTGCTCACGAGTCATAATTAACTTGAAACAAGGCACGAATTGCTTGGAGGCGGGCTGTTTGCTGCCAACGTCACTGATCGTTGAAAGGGCAAGGACGGGCGATTTGCCCACTCCCATTCCTATCCTTCCCCAATGCGTTTGGAGACCAGATGAGATGCCTGCTCACAGACGACCTGTGTTTCGTTGGACAGATCACTAACTTGTAATCCCGTCATTGCATCCTCGACTATATGTGCTTCACTGACAGCTAGGAAATCATCAAGCGTCATGATTGAATCAATGGCCATCGTCAGGAGTCGAACCTTAATCGTCAATGAAGAACTCTTCAAAAATCCTACTTACAGTCAAAACACCTACACACCTTGTCTTGCCAAATATCTCGGAACATATCCATATTTTTCTTGTGCCTTCTGGCTATCACACGAGGCACAACAAGGGCGAGCCGTTCACAACCTTAGAAATTAACCTTTCAAAGTTCACTAAATCGCTAAAAAGTAATCGTCATGAGGAGCACTTGTGTTGTCCTGATCATATGGGTTGTTCTATGCAAATTTTACTTCATGTTTCTTCGCCAGTGGATTTCTGGTCACTGTCATCCATCAATAACTCCACACATAACCTTGGAGCAAATCCTCAAATTGAGTTGCGTGTAGCGAATAATTCTGATCCCCTCAACATCCGGAAGACATTTCGCGATGCAAGTTGCTACCTGAAATCTCATAGAACACAGTTTGTAGTTCATAGGGGAGGGGAGGGAGCAAGCTATTATACACTTTTTGATGCTTTTGTGCATGCAATAAGCGTAAACAGGGATCTTTATTCCGAACTACAATTAGAATTTTCAATTCGGAGATAAGAGAATTTAGTCTACGTTCATAGTTCCAGGCTCGAGCGATTCAGCCGCGCGACTGGCGCTCCCGCTACAGCTTTGTAATACAATTGACGATACAAATTCTTCCGACTGTTGCAGTGGTCTACCGATTAATCACGGAGCATGACCGATCACAGTCTATTGGTTGAACAGTCACGCGATTGAGTTGCTCGAGTCGCGAACTGTAACGTCTTGCGCAAAGAAAAGTGCGAGAAAACGGCAAATAAAAGTTAGTTTTGTTAGCATGCTCCAGGAAAAGATGGCCAGCTTGAGTAGTCCCTTCCACATCTCTTCTCTTGGCGGCATCAATGAGAATCAACAATGGAGTACTTGTATCCAAGAAGGCATCGCTCACATGATCAACGACAGCTCGACGTAAATGCCTTGAAGAAGGTGAAACTAGCTTGAAAAGGTTGAGTAAGTACGAAGGTTTTGGGAAAGCTCAGACAGAAGCCACAATTTATAGGGGAAAATCAATCAAACCTTCTCAAATCTTTGGCTTTCCGACCCACAAGAACCATTGCCAAATCCACGTCTTCATTATTTTCTCTTCCGCACTGCAATGAAATTAGTGTAGTATGCAAAAATTGGATGAGACATGAAATAGGATCCAACGTCAATTTTTTTCAGTGAGCACTACAGATTCCACTTCCGTGTCCCGAATGCAGAAAGCATAAGTACTGCAGCGCGCTTGCAATGGCAATCAGTAAAGGAACAGTGATCCATTAAGCACAAATTGCCAAGCAGAAAAAAGGGGATTCCATTGGAAGCCCGAATTGAAGAAATTCGAATGGACAGATTTTGTTAAACCAGTTACTGTATCTGAGCTGCGCTACTTGAAGGGAGCCTTTCAGATCGTCATAGCATGTCAGGATGGCCTAGCGAGTAATGCTCTAAGCACTGCTTCAGGTCATAGCACGCGACGACGAATGTGAATTCATACAATCCTAACAATGATATGAGGCGGAGGTGGTGTACTGGCAAGTGGTGCTCTACCAAACGTGCCGTCCCGGGATCGATTCCCAGATGTGCTCGCACCCAGACCAAATAAGTCTTTACTCCACGGACAGTAAAATGGTACCAGATCGTGTGGGAGGATAAGAACATTGATCTTGAACATAGGCTGGCCCCTGCAATTCATTCAATAGGCAAATTCAATAAGCCACTACTATTCCGAATGGAAGTGGCATGCGTGCTGCATCTACAAAAAGGAATGATCAACGGCGAAGACTTCATCCTCTTTATGGCTTCAAAAACTTCCGATGAGCCTCATCTCTCATTTTCATGAATCGAAACAAATGCAGTCCTCAGTCCCAATTCCAATCAAGCGAACCCGAATATCAGATCTTTCCCATACTGACTGTGACTTGAATATTCCTTCTAATACCATTTCGACTGAGCGCTCTCGTCTAGGAAGACCAAGCTACTCAATGGAAATCCCCGTCTCGCGATCCGCGATTCCAAACGATTCGCCCCATTGACCTTTAGCCTTGACACACGCGCTCGTAATCACACGTATGCCTGATCGCACCCTAGAGTTTGAGCGGTCTGAACTTGCATTGTGAGCGTCACTCACCTCACCCCCCACTCACGCCCCCCCCGCCTTCCTCCTCATCTTCGAGTAGTACTGAATTCTTACTATCGTGATACTGAATTCTTACTACACATCCGTACTTGAAACCAGATTCGATACAACATTTGACGCAGCTTTGCAGTTCGGCTTTGTGGGGCATTTTATTGGTTCCCATCGATCACTGGCCGTGCCCAAGTACGGACCTGTATATTCCCGTTAAACCGTGCTGCAGCATGATCGTCGTTTGTACTTGGCAAGAGTCTACAGGTCTTACCGAGAGGTGTAATTGAGCTGAGAGGTGTAATTTAACAGGAACCAACCAAAGAAATTACCAAAACTGCGAAATGCCTCTTCTCAGCCGAACAGCGCCCAAGATTTTATCTATTCCCTTGTTCTGATAGAAAATCAGAAGGAAATAAGAATCCTCAAAGCTTTAGTGGTGTGGGGGGGGGTGACTTCGAGAGCAGTGGATGATTCTGGAAGAAAACGAACACAGCTTGTCCCTGCACTTTCGTCTTCATATGTTACTTGAGCCAATAGGTCTTGGCCCAGGCATAATACAATAGCCACCCCAATTGCCAGCATTATCGTAAACGCTGCGCATCCCTAATTGTTTGACCTTGGTTCCTCGTCCCTCGTTCCTATGAGGACAGACCATACGACAAACGGTGACGGCGATCTGGCAATTATACAATTCCCCCAGTTTAAGGCCAAAAAACGATGCCTGACCCATTCTCAATGAAACTCTCCCTCACTTATTTCAATTTTACTATCTTGCCCATCCGTTTCAGAAAACTAGAGCTGTCTTACCATAAGGCTAAAGGTCGCAATAGTCTCAAATGTGACTCAGCCTATGTTATGGCATATGGCACGGCAATCGTACGTCCCTTGACACCCCCACTACAGATGATGACTAAGCATGTTTGCACTGAAAGGTTGCCTATGAAATCACAGCTTCGTTCTGTAAGGATAGTTCTCACCCCCCCCCCAACCTTCCCCTTGCTTATATTACACTGGAATCAGATTAGGTCACCGTTGGGACAACACTATGGGAATCATGACTGTGGGAAGGGACGGAGCAGTATTTGGCGCTGATAAAATTCGTCTTGACAGCTGATTTTCCCGCTTCAGGCGCTCTGTACCCCTCCCTAATGGCCTGACAGCAGAACTCAGGATAAGAGGGCGAATGTGCTGAAGAGTCCTGTTGGCGGGAGCGGTCATCCCGACACCGCTATTCCACCCGTGCCCCTAATATGTCTTGACTGAATTCCAAAAATCGCATGTGTGGACCTCTCCTGATAGAGCACTCGGCTTGGTTCAATTTAGTAGGGGCACAAATGGCACTCAGCGAAGCCTGTTGCTCACTCGACGAATACCTGTGAAATCTTCTAACCAAGTAGCTCACATCCCGCAGCTTCACAATAGATTGCAAGCTTCACCAAAGTGTGACCCGCTACATAACATGCAGTGACAAAAGGAACTGGCGAGAATACGAAGTGCCCCCCCCCCGATGTCGAACAGCGTCGAATACTCCTCGGCCAAGTGAAATAGAAAACCGAACGGGGCTCACTTTTCGTAAGAATTCAATAGACTTTTTTAAATGCATATTTACCAAGTCAATTTCTTTTTACGGCGAATCTTTCTCCATTTCTCGAAAGCGTGAGTGACGAGTACACGCTGCTATTGAAAGTACAGAAGAACTCCGCACGAAACGATGGCGACAAGCACGCTGAGTTACTCCACGGTTTAGTTGACGTGAAGTTTCAAGTGGCGCTCACGTTGTCTTTCCTTTTCTTATCGTCAGTTTACAAAGCCATTAAACAACATTGTTGTTTATAAAGTTATGTAGAACTAAGCCAGGCCAGCAGGACATTTTCTCTGCTACATAATCCCACTTCAAGCTGACATTTCAAGTGTTTAGGTCCCTTATATGCACGAATGCAGAAGCTCTCAAAGACAAGGAACTCGTTTGGACCTACCATTCTTGTCAGTGGTTTCGATCTGAGAGGTGGAAGTGGGCCAAGCGGTATTGCAAAAAGGCTTCAGACATCATCAGGTTCATCATGGAAGAACTTATAATCCACCAGAATTCGAATGTTGATGGCCGGCGAATAAAGCGGGAAACCAAGAGCCAACGAAAGTTAGGTTAAAGTCGAGTTTACTCTGTTTGGGACCAGCTGGCTGATGCAATATTGCAAAAGAAAGAAGCAAATGGATAGAAATAAATCATAGAAAGGATGAAGCTTCTGGCATTAGGCCACTCTGTTGAGGATACGCCATGCCTTCTATTATACTTCCATCCACAATCGTAGTGGCTTCGAGTCAGGATATATTTATCGGGTTATGTGGAACGAGGGTGGCAGTATAGTATCTTCTCTTTCACTGAGCAAGGAGAGCGCCTCAGGAATACGGGGTATTTCTCGATGGCCGCAACTTTTGTCTTTTCTCTCTCTACACATTGCCGGACCGAAATGCTGAGCCACGTTCAGTCACTTCATTATTTTTTATAACAATTTTATTATTAATTCTTTTCCTTTTCAAATGCTCAGAAGCATCTGTCTCTACAAGCAGAGGACGTGTTCTGGCAATATTAAAACCTGAAAAAAAGCTAAACTGATTAAATAAAAAATCGCATCGAGACAAATGTGTGACACACCATATGTGTCACGCTGGAACGTGTTAACAATAGGAGGGAAACGGAGCGGGCAAGCTGCGCAACTCAGCCCCCGCCGCCCCCTTACACGCCCAGCATACCCCTATTTCGAAAGTTACTATCTACCACTTTATCCAATTACTTACCATCTTACCAAATTCCGAAAATGGCTTTCGAGCGAGGGAGAGGGTACACTTATCAGAAATAGTAGTTTTAGTGTAGAGCAGGTAAACAGCGCGCGCAAAATTGAAGACAACATTTGGAAAAGGTTTTCTTGACACGAAGTACATTCTTTCCATTCCAGACTACCAAATAAGATCCCGCTCACAGTGTTCGCACTAGATGCTGGCTTTGAACAGGGTTCAGAATTTTGCAAGCCAGCCGATGGTGAAGTTCCTGTGCACGACGAGACCGGTACCAACTAACGGGCAGAGAAATGGAAGGCGCTGGGATATGCTCGGAACGGTGTCTGACCACTTTGATCTCGGCTCATGCCGCGTTTGAAATGACCGAAGGAAGATATTTTGGTTTTTTTTCAAGCTTTCATGATAATTCGTTGTTAGTTAAGATATGGATGTCCCTTCATACACTCTTTACCCCTGATAAACGACCATATGACGCACAGACAATGTCATGGCCGCCAATTGGTCACGCGAACGCGCCGAACACTTCATTAGCATAATTGGAGATGTCGTTCTGGAAGAAATCGTTTACCCGCGCTAAAATTAAATCCTCCGAAAGACTATCGACCACCTTCACTGTGGCAAAGCGGAAATTCCTTCACATCTTCCGATCAGCATCCTCATATGTTCTGTAAGAAGTAACAGCGGCGCTGTTGGCCTGGGGGGCGAGAGAAGTGGCATTCAACAGACTGCATGGAGGACTTCGCCTGAGCCCAGGGAGGCACGATGCTTTGCGTTAAGCGAGTCAAGCTCTTCGAGCAAAAATAGATTTTCGGGTTTTTCTACGGTACCATCAGTAATAAATGCCCAATCAAAGCGGAAGCGCCGTGATAGCTTTTCTAGCAACAAGACAACTCCATGATGAGAAGTAACAATGGTGCTGTTCGCCTTGGGGGGGGGTGGGGGAAATGAGGGGAGAAATGCATTTAATGAACTGCTCATTTGCTAACTGATGCTACTTCTGACCCAGGATTATCCACCCACATGATTCTCATAGGAAGTTCTTACTGCAAATACACTATGCGCAGAAATACTAAATTATCTGGTGGTTTGCTCAAGCATGAAAAGGAAAGATGCTCCGAGGTTGGGTGAGTCAAGTTCTTTTGGTGAACAGAGGTTTCCCGCTCTTCTTGAGCATGGCCAGTGATAAACGACCCCTCCTCAAGGCGCCGTGACAGCCTTTCCGTTGGCAGGACACTGGACCGCCCGCCCCTCAAATGAAATGCGTGATAAGTGAAGGGAAGCGTCAAAGTCCGCTAAGCCCTTATGCAAACACTCTCAAGAGGAGCGATTTGCACGTGACCATCAATACAAGTGGACAGCTGTCAGGACATCGAAGCATCCTGGCAATATTAGGACAAACGCTAAAAAATTGAAATAATGCTTGAAGCATGAAACATCACGTAACGGCATATGCCCCCCCCCCTTGAACTGTCTTTTGAGCCTTTTACCACCAATCTTCCTGTATACTTTTAACTCACATTATTGCACCCTCCCAGATATTTTACTACCATATTCTGACACAATCAAATATTCTAGAAGCATTCCTTTCTTTTAGCCGATGAATGCGCAAACACTTTCGTTTTCGCTATTCAAATAAGTTCTTCGATCACACTGAGAGCCTCGCAAGGCCAACATCTGCGACGAAAGAGGATTAGGAGATTCCGCTCGTAAATTCGCCGGCAACGGCATCCCACACATGAATTAAGAAAATGAAAGGCTGGGCACGTTCGCCAAACCGCACATATTCCAAGGGCTATCGCAGACGAATACTTACACTAAGCCGACATCTATTAGAGTCGAAAATAAGTAAATAAATAGCAGGTGTCTGATACAGTAATGGTGAAGAGTAGCAATGGTAAAGAAATAGTGAAGGAAAAGAAAAGAGAGAAATTCTCGATAATGCCCCAAACAAGTTATTCTAGCTTTAGAACCGGACGAGCTCACCACCGAAAATTTCGAACTTGCTAGCCTCGGGCCAGCACAGCGACAGCCTTGTGGGGAAGTTTATTTCAGCATATTTTGTTGATTGCAAGGTGCCTTGCTTCAACTCCACACGGAATTGATTAATCAGTTTTATTGGCTTACGTCTCGGCGAGAACGCCTTCTTTGAAGCTTGGAAGGATCGAAGCAGTTTATGACTACCAGACCAAATGTCTCTACTATCCTACCGCTTTAAACACATTTTGCTGATATCGTGCTCCCGTTCTTGTTCGGGATATTAGAACGTGCGCACAAGCTCGCTCAGCTCAACTAGGGTTAGTAGCATTAGTAATTCCGTCGTAGAGGGCATTTCACGTCTCCTAGAGGGTAATGCCGTATTGGACTTCGGGCGCAATTTCGGCACCGAGCTCATTTTTAAATTGCCTAGGTTACCAAATCCGCTAAAAACTGTATATAGGGGTAGTTTAACATCCTGATTACGATATGACATTCACTCTTGCCGCTGGCGCTAATGGATGACACTACGATTATCTGCGCTCTGCTAAGGCTGAGCCCAGGAGGTAATCGTAGTGTCATCTCTTGGCGCCAGCGCCAAGAATGAGTGTCATAATTGTAATCACGATGTTAAATAACCCTTGTGTACATGTTTTCAGCGGGTTTGGTGACTTAGGCAATTTAAAAATGAGCTCGGTGCCGAAATTGCTGGAGTCCAAACGGCATTAGAGCACGTGAGGCCGTCCTACGACACAACAGGATACTGGATCGATGCGGAATTGAAATGCGTCACAAACTAACAGCAGCTCGTCCTCACGTGGGCGTTTCCCTTACAAACACATTCCAACAGGAACAAGTCTTAAGCGCTTGACGCCTATCCCACGCACCTTCAAATGACTAAAGGGGTACCCTTTCTGCGAGTGTGGACTTAATTACCAAATACGGGGAGGAATCTATCTATTCGTGAACTGTACCACTGATCGTTAAAAAACTAAAAATAAAAATCATAAACTAAAAACAGATCGTACAAACTTACACTCTTTTCGTATTCACCGAGTAAATCTTGAAGAGCTTGCCGGAGGTTGTTGCATTCATTCACAATCTTTTGTTTCCGATCCGCTCGAGTATTTCCTGAAGAAAATCAAGATGCACAGAAATCACATTCAACAAAACCGCCAAAAACTAATACCTCCAGCGAGAGAGTGTAAAAGCAGACCCTCATTTGGAAAAAAGCCTCACTCACCCGAATAGGAGGTTTTCAAAAACATTTGTTAAATCTTGGTCTCAGTCAAAACAAAATAAATGAAAATAAAAGGAAACATTCCGGAATCCCACCTGAATCCGCTATCGCAGCTGATCCACTCACGATACGTTCAAGAAGTTCTTCAAGCTCGGGTCGGTGAATGTGGGCTTTGTAGGTTCCTGGTTCAAGGTAAACGCGATTCTAAAAAAAGGAAAAAAAATGTTTTTGTTAATCCCAATACAGAGTCAAAGAGGGGTCTCACTTGGAACTGATCCAGCTCACTAATTAGTTGTCCTAACCGTCCTTGAGATGTGAACGACATATCAGGTTTCTCTCCTAAAGGTTGATGCTAGCTACATATAAATCAAAGAACACGAAAAAAAATGATAACGCGGCTCAGGAATTTGGCCCAGAAAGGCTACTCGTAAAGGACAACAGCCATTTCCAATACTGTACACCCAAGTACCTCTAAGGATAGCGTCAATTGCATTCAAAGCTAACATAGCTTCAGCTTGAGCATAGTCACGATTCTGTCGTGCCTCGTCACTTTCAGGATGACGTACAAAAGCCTGAAAAACATGGCTTTTTAAAACTTCAAGGATTTACAGACTGTAAGTCATCAATACCTTCGATGTAGCAAAAAGTAAAGGACATAACGACTTCAAGTGTCCTTTACAGGCCAGAAGGTCATCCTTCTGATTCGGGTCTCGGAGGTCAGCAATACGTCTTCTGAAGCAAAAGGAATTAGCATAAAATCCACCCAGCAGGATGTTGGAGAGGATGTTCACAAAATGAAAGCATTTGTTAGAGAAATGGAAAAAAATTAGGTAGTGGTTGACATGAACTACGACAAGCATAGGAAGGTTGGAGGAGTTCAGGCTTAGGGAGGAGGGGGGGGGTTGCACATTCGCTACTTTCCATCGTCGTGTATAGCCATCAAGAAGAGGTGAAACTTGTGAAGCCTTGAACTGCTACCAGTAAGATTTTGTAGAGCTTGTCAACTCTAGTAAAGGCTGGTCAACTATTGTAAAGCAGTGAGCACGACGATGATAAGTATCGAAAGTGCAACATGCCTCCTCCAAGCCGAACTGAGCCATATTCACGTAATAAAACTAACACTTACTTTACAGTCTCTTCCACTTCCTCAATCTCGGCAATTAAGAGCTGGTATCGATCAATGACTTCTTGATTTGACGTGGCAGCTCTGACACCATCGAGAAGAGTGCGTACCTTGAATGTGTTATATGGGAGGATAAATGGGCTTTGCTAAGAAAAATTGCTAGTCGTACAAACTGACACACTCAGCCAAGCGATAGAATTCGAAAGATTTTCAACGGACTCTTCTTTGGTGACAAATGCCACTGTGTCATAACACAAACATAAGGGAAGCGAATATAAAACACGTGATCCACGTTGGGAGGTTGCGGACAGAGGGGGTTCAAGATCTGGCCACGGAAACTAGTACATCTTATTCCGATCCAGTGCTGTTAATAAAAATCAAAAGAAAGCAAAATCAAAAGCATGTCCACGTGAAAAGGGAGTTCAGTAAGTCATCGACCCCCATCCTTATATAGCTTCGTCACAAAACTTCTTGCAGTGAGTGATGTGGGGAGCCGGTCAAGACAATGTTAATTCGCAGTTCCGTCGCCCACGGCGATGGATGCGGCGTTTCCCTCGTTTGCATTAGCCTGTGAATCAGGGCACCGGATTCACGCAGGTTTCGAAATCGTGGAATTTTATAGCTTGGTTATACACAGTTTATATTCGCCATCGATGACCTAGAAACGTTGTCAGTTGCCAGCACAATGTCGCCCGCCTCCCAGCAGCGCGGTGACTTGCGACTGTTTTTTTCACATATCCGGGTCTTTCCTTACCCTCATTCTCTAATGAAACCGTACACATGCCAATTGACAGAACCCACCCCCTTCAAATTACTTTACATTTTGGTCAGATGGGCGGTTGGTGGATACAAAGTACACTCTGTATCTCTACGTTGGAGAGCGCGTAGCTGCGCGTATCCATTGAGATCTGAGAGCTACTCCTCTGGTAGGACATCCCCCTTTGGATCAGTTATAATCAATTATGTCCTGTCCCATATAAACAACAGCGCATCTACGCCACGCTCAAGAGAAGCACCCAGCCAAGCCTTTCTCATTTTCGGGATATGGGATGCATGCGGCGTTTATATACTTGAATGAAGGCTTCAGCCCAAAATGTCTTCAACAAAATGAAGGAGTAATCATGAGAGAGCTTCGTTTCATCAGTCGAAAGAAGAACTAGAAGAAACAAGACTGTAAGGAAAAACATTGAAATAGCTTCACTAACCTTGTCTACTCCTTCAATAATCAACGCAACATCTATCGAGTCGGCAAGTATAAGGAAGTGCGCTACGGCCTTGAAAGGATTAAATCTCAATACTTATCAACACCTGGCTAAAGAAGTAAAAATGACTTATATTAGTAAGGTAATCCCCTACCTGCAGTAAGGTCTTTCCTGCATTCACCGCTGATGCACGTCGTTGCGATGATGAACTATCTCGGATGAAATCACGTCCAGCGTATGACATAGACTGCCCTGTAAGTCCAAAAGATAGAGAGTGAACTTAATCCAACTGGTTTCACAATGGAGGAACTTCACGCGGTCACTTGCACCCTGTTGCAACCTCTTTAAGGCACTCTTGATCCGGAAATCCAGATGACTAACTTCAGAAACTAGCCCACTGATAAACAGCGTCACGCGGCCCTACGGAGTCATTAAGCAAACCTTAGCTATGTTCAGATGGTAATTCCATCAAGTTCTACTGATAGACGACCAGGATTTATCACATAGTCTCTTTCACACAGCCTTGCTTTCTGGCTTCACATCTGAGCAGGCTGGCGCTGTTTCGGCCTTGAAGAGACGTTTTACGCTTCACGGTAGTTCCTTTCGCTAGCTCATTTTGACTAGCAATTCGCACATTGGTCAACTACTCTACTTTGGTCTGTAAACTACTGCGGAGCTGCGAAGTTGTTCGAAGGAGCATTTTGGCCGCAGGGGCTTAGGTTTTTACAATGTGGCAAGCTTGCCTCAGTACCATATGGCGCCCCCTCCAAGCCAAACTGCACCGAGAACCCTTTCAGTTTTATACAGCTAGTTATGATTTTTGCTATCACACCATTTCGTTTGCGCCCCCGTGGCTACCTCAAACATCCGGACAGGGGTAAACACCTGGGAGAAACGGTGGAAAGAAGAGAGGGCGTAGATCTCGTTTCTTCATTCTGTTCTGCCAAGCCAGATCCAAGGGACGAGAATGGCAGGATCAAGGAATTCTCACTCCTTTTGATACATACACTTCTCCTTTTGATCGTCTATCTCGAGTGTTGAAGATGCTCGGATGCTCCAAGTAGTAAGCAAGTCTGCCGTCAGCGCGCTAATAACTGTTACAACGGCGCCGCTAGCAGGGCGGATTTAACCTGATAAATCACATTCGGGGAAATGAACGGCAGGAGGAAAAAAATCAATACTTCCAAAAGAAAATGATAGTGATCAAAAAATTCTAAAAATTTGTTATCGAGGGGAAATCGAAAGTAAGGTACATGCTCCGCTATCGTAACTGATGGAGATCTTACAACTAAGCGATGACCTCAACAAAGTGCAAATATGAAAGATGGTAACTCTAGATGGGGAAGCTCTTCAAAGGTCAAAGTTGATTGGTTCTGTCGGCTTCCGCGCACATATAAAAAAGAAAAAGGCAATATTATCAGCACATACCAGTGTCGCGCACATCCACCAAGGCATCAGTGAGGGTTTCAAGAGCGGATCCATGAGCCAATGGACAAGAACGGATGGCGGCATCACCTTGTTCAAGAAACTGTTGAACACTGCGCTCGATGGCAACTACTAAGCTTTCAGCAGTCTGCCCTGGTTGTAAGGGAATGTTTCAGTGATGTTCGTCACCTGAATTGGCTAAATTATCATTACATATTGATTGATAAATACAATTGTTACCACATCATTTCTTAATCATAATAAGATTAAAAAAATACAGAGATTAACTTTCAAATGAACAGAAATGGCTTTGATACTTACGGCAGGACCAGTGCCACAAGTAGCGGTTTGCTCAATAATTTTCTCAGCAGCTTCCTAGCACATACCTTTCATACTATGAAATTCATTTAATAAATGTGATATCTATGTAAACATGACTAGGTGGTACTCCAGCAAGACGGGGGCAGAAGTGGCTAATCTACCCGGAGGCCTCCTCTGGGCCCAAAAATAGATCCTCGTGCCCTGGCTCACAATCGTTTACTCACTCCGTCTTCATCTTTCCCCATAGCGAAAATTTTGTCGCGGATTAAATTGCTTTGAATGCTCTGCACCGGAATGTTCTATCTACTTGGAATAGTCTACCATCTTCTTAATAGCTCTGGCGTTCTACCACATTCCAGCAGTGTTTTTTTAAAGTCCTCTACTTTTCCCCGAGAAAACCGGCGTTAGGAGCGATTGTGGGGTAGGAGAAAGGCGTGTAGTGCACTCGAAAGAGTAAAAACTGAGAGAAAATCAACAACCAGTAACATTGCCCTCGAAGGCCATTAAGAAGGTCCCCTCCCTTGAACGACCAAATACGGCCTCCCTCGCATTGAGGATCCTCACCCTACGACATGCCCTGCTTCCCGGGTGATGTGGTGAAAATCAAAAATGTGCACACTTTGCGATAAACTCTAATGCGACGAATTCTGGGAAAACATATGATGATAATCTTCTCAAGCAAAGCAGATTAAAACGTTGGAATTGATTATTTCTTGGGAAAGCACTATTGAAGTAAGCAGCAGAGCAGGAGAGGGGTGAAGAGAGCATCCACTGGCAAATTTTACTTGAATTAGACACAGCAATTGAATACTATTTAAAGCCTTATAATAACTTTATAATATATGCAGCAGAAAAAATAATAGGATGAGAAGAAACTCACATCGTTAATCAGCTGGAATATGAGATTCTCAACAGTTTTGGTTTTTATCTGATTGAAATTAAAAGACGATTGCGTTGATGCCCGTACGACCATTAATATGCAAACTCAATTATTAACGATGAGTTTGAAAAATAGAAATCGCACGGATACCTGAAAGACGGTAATTCAGAAACAGTGAGCAAACAGGAAGGACAAAACGCGAAGAAAACATCGGACATTCATTTTCGCAACAATTACTGTTGGAAGTAAGCCCGGAAATCCTATATTGTGGTAAGACGGGGGCAAATCCACTATCGCCTTGTAGGGCATTGGAACACACAAACAGCGCGAGGGCAACGCCCACCATGACGAATTTTGGTACGTAAGAACGCGTGGACCCATCTGCACAATCGCGCCGGCGCTACAGTACCCCAGTATTCAACACATTGCCGTTCCTCTGCATTATTGATAGTTCAAAATGGCGTTTATACCAGAGAATATCGAAGGTGTTATGAATCCATCATCGAATTGAATTTCGCACTCTATTACTGAGGCCTACTGAAAGAGTTCAGATAAGAGACGAGAAACTGGAAACCAACGAAGGTAACCAGTCCTTCGTAGGGACCACTGTATTACGGTGTAGTGTAACAAATCCACGTCGCGATGACGCTTGCAAATTGACCGAGAATTTCCTAGCTCTCGACTGACATACTGCAGCAGCTGCGCATCAAGTCCATTGGTGCTAACGTGTTTGGGGGGGGGGCATCACGCGGCGCGCAGTGACTCATCTGCTCTTCTGCCGGCTCCTCTGCGAAATAGAAGTAAATTCATGTTTAAGACATGAATATAAACCGCCCTAGGCTTATATATAGAAGGCAAAACAGTTAACGCTGAAAAGTGCGAAGAAACAATTGTAGGTCGCAAGATTTTTGCCTGAGCCTACAAGGGAAGGAATTCTGGCCTAGATGAACCCATCCTTTGTGTAAAAGTTCAACCAATCCGCAGAATCTAAAAAAGAATCTACTACAGT